TTTAAGAGTGCTTGGGATGTGCAGAGAGAACATTCTCTGTCACCAGAAATCTTAACAGGAGCATTTTACAAGGATGAACAAATGATCTGGGCACTTCGGAAAATGATGAATAAATTTTTCTCTCCCTGGAAAACTTCTCTCTTTATGAGAAGTTTAGATGTTAGCCATGGAGTACTGAGCTGGGCATTAGAAACTACCTCCCTCATTTTCATCATACTGGAGCTCAGGCTATGACTTGTATGTTTCATATGGCCTTGAGAGAGAGTACTATCCACCCCAAGAATCACACCATGTGCCTGAGAACATCATCCAAATGCTTCTTGAACTTTGTCAGGCTTGGTGCTGTGACCACTTCCCTGGGGATCCTGTTTTAGCACCCAACCACCCTCTGGGTGAAGAACCTTTTTCTAATATCCAACCTAAACCTCCCCTGACACAACTTCAGCAATTCCCTCAGGTCTTGTCATCGGTCACCACAGAGAAGAGATCAATGCCTGCCCCTCCTCTGCCCCGCATGAGGAAGTTGTAACTGCCATGAGGTCTCCTCTCAATCTCCTTTTCTTCAGGCTGAACAAGCTAAGTCTCGTCTCACACTTCCCTGGATCCTGTGTAAGAAAGCACCATGCTTCCTAGTGCCTTGGTTAACACGTTGCTGCTCCTATATGGCCTTCATCTGCATCTCTGCATGAGCAAACATACAGGCAGCCTAAAGCAAACCCAGAAAAATCACTCAGAGTTGGCACAAAATGAATTATTTACAAGCTTCCTATCAAGAAAAGATATGGCACATTTTTATTTTGCCAGAGTGCAGAGTTTGGGAGCACATCAGTGGCAAACACCCTACTGGAAAAACATCTGAGACTGCTTTTGTCTGGATCCCTTTTCCCTCCAGTGATGTTGATGGCAGCATTCGGTTTTGTTTGTTGCAATCTGCTACTGCCTGAGTTTTCCACAGAAGGGTTTGGTTAATATCAGATTGATTTGGTTTGGGGTTTTGCTTGTTTACCTATGGTTTTGTGATGGCTGTGTTAATGTTGAATGGTGATTGTAAAGCACTAATCTTCCCACTGACAGGTATCGTCCTTTCTGAATTTAAAAAAAAAAAATCAATCAGTGGTTATTGATTTGAGAGAGTGTCCTGGAAGATATTAAATACCTACAGTCTTTCTGTGAACCCATAAATCATGATTATTGTTTTAAAAGGCCATATATTTTAAGCACTTTGTCAGCAAGCCCTGCTGGTGCTATTTGGATAATACAAATGTGTCTAAAGGCTTTGCTGAATCCATATAGTGTGGAAACAATTAGATATGTGGTTACACATCAGTGTGGCTTGAATAATCGTACCATGCCTTTGCAAAGTTAGGAGGAAGGAAATAAACAGGGTAAGCAATTCTGAGGGTAATTAATTACTTACAGAAAATGAGATGAGCTTAACAGAATTGCTCTTTCCAATTGCAATAATTAAGAACAAATCTCAGAAAGCAGATTGTGACTTCCCTGGGTGAGTTAAGGGGAAAGGGATGATGCTTTGCCTTTGGCAGAGAAACACAGCCATTGGTTGTCCCAAATCCTCGGCTTGGGCATCACATGGAGCCAAGGGATGTTTGGCCTCATTTGTCTGAATAAAATTTAGGTCTACTGGTAGAAGTGGCTTTAAATATATATAAAATTATACTTATGCCAGGAGGTAGGACCCCAAACTTTACAGATCTCCAAGCCATGTAAAGCCAAGGTTTTCTCCTGCAAAGGAAGCTGACAGGCCCACTGACCCCTGAGCTGGTTACAGATGTCTTCAGGGGACGGGCCACCTACTGTCAAAGACAGTGTGGGAACCAGAAAATGAGACTGGGAAATGATGACTGTGTGATGAACACTAGCAGCCTAAGGAAGGAGATTAGGAAGCCATTTGGCTTCATGCCATCAAGGTGGTAACTTTGTCATGAAACGCGAAGGCAAAATCCTTTAAGCACTCTTTTATTGCTAGCTATTGATTTTTCTCACCATGAAGATGCTCCTTCACTAATTAACGATGAACCCTTTTGCTTTATGAGGGGAGTGCTGGACTTTCCAGCTCCTTCCTGTAGATCTTCAGCAGTTCAATAAATCAATCTTTTCTAATCCTTGAGATCTGAAAAAAAAAAAAAGAAAAAGAAAGCAAAACATCCCTACTACCTTATACCAGCAGGCAGTGGGGAGACACAATAGCACACTTTATGTTGTGTTTCCCTCCTTCATGCCTGCAGGAAACGTCTGTCTCTCTGCTTTATTTGCACCATATCAAAATGAATTCCATGGGTCTTTCTGAATGCTTGTGAGGGGGCACATCATTCATCTATTTTTATTTGGGTTTCATCACCCTTAACAGCTACTAAAGGTCCTGTGTACTCACTTTGGCATTTTTGTTCACTAGCCAGTTATTTTGGGGCCCAAGCTCTGAGTCCATGTGCTTAATGAGCCTTTTCCTGCTGTCTTAGAGATGGGAAAATACTTTGAATTGGGAAATTTTAGCAACTTTAAAAAAAAGTGTTGGTCTGGAAACATCACAGGAATATGGAAGGTAATATGAACAATCCTTTCTCATCATTGCGGGAGAAGTTACTCTGGGAAATTGAAAGACATCTAACTTAAATAAGATTTTGAAAGAGTTTTACATGATGTGTAATTAACCTTAAGAAGTCTTTGCCCCAAGGTAAAGTCAGGGCTTTTTTAAGATTAGAAAATGAATTAGGTATTTATATGGATTGGTAGACCATCCGCTATCCATCATCTGGGCTGCAGAGAAACACAAGGGAGGTGAAGTAAGATTTTGCAGGTTAAATGAATAATGCAGCCACTAAAGATCAGCTTTTTACCTTCAGGTATTTGAAAGTGAAGTCCCCACCTAAGCCGTCATTCAGGTTTCCTCTGCAGTCAGTAGAGAAACACATTTCATCAGGGAATGGCAAAGCCTCATCTACCTTAAATACCTGTTCTTCTAGGGGATAAATTCCTTTTGTGGGATACTGGTCTCCCATTAACTAGGGAGGAATCAGAGTCACATAGTTTAAATTCAGTGGGATGTCCAGTACCTTACTGCCAGGTATTGGTCAAACTTATCCAAATCTGGAGAAGCATTTAGATGTAGCATCTCAAAATCTGCTAGGCTAGCTTTTCCAGTTATTTCTGCTTCAAATTTTATTTGCTTTTACTACTAGTGAATATAATCTCAGTTTTCCAGTTAGCAGCTCCATTTTTCTAGGAACTAAGGCTCTTTGAAGGCTTTTCTCTTGTCTAAGTGATGGGTTTTATGTATTGCAGATAATGACACAGTATTACTGAAGCACTGATAGGTTTCACAGACTTTACCGGGGTAAAAAAAAAAAAAAACCAAAAACATTCTGGAGTAACTTTTGTCAGAAATTGTTGCTAACACAAGAGTTAAGCTTCTTACAACACTTGAATTGGCAAAATGAAAAGGATTGTATTTCATGAGGATATAAGGGACTAAGTTCTATGGGCCCTAGGTGCGCAGAATGAAACTGTTTGGAAGTTAGGCATCTTTGAAAATATCACTTCTTTAGCCACCTGTTTGCTTTGGGCAGTGGATCCTAAACACATCTACATTGGAATTGGGGTAAAAACTGCCAAGGTCTTTTTGATGGTTTTCTCCTGAGCTGCTTTGAAGTGTTAACCTCAAGCTTAAAGGGAATCTGAGTTTACCAATTTTGCGTTTTGTCTGTACAAAGATGAAATGGAGCCTTCAGCTGCCTTGAAGAAGGCTATTATGAATTACTGAAAAACTTTGTGAGGATTGGGACAGCAGCATAAAAAAAAAAGCATAAAAAAAAAAATCCCTGACTTCCTATTTTTCTCATCTATGCTGGTGACTTTTCAATATAAAGTCTTTGCCATAAAACCTGAGTTCTTGTGAACCCAGCAGTAGAAATCCAGACCCTGCTCCTGCCCACATGGCTGAGCTGACAGCTCCAGATTGTCTTATGTCTTCACTTCATCTGATTGCATTGTAGGAGAGCTGCAGGTTAGCAGTATTGACCAAAGGAGGTCCCACCAGGATGGGCTGGCCCTGGCTATGTTGCCAGGGTAATGAGATGAACATACTGAGTCATCCTACATCTCTGGCACTCATGGTGGTTTCTGCAAGGGATCTCAGGTTCGAGAGCTCCATGTCAGTGGGGAGAAAAGGCCTGGGAGTTAGCCTGCTTTCCCCACGTGTTGCACGTCACCTGCCACACAGGCAGAATTATGCGCACAGCCTGTCCCAGAAGGTCAGGGAGACTCCCCTAGGAAAATAGCTGCTACTAATCTTGTGTCCTCACAGTGAAAGAAGCTCATTTTGAGTGATCCATCTTGGCTTCTTCATCACTGCAGCAGGCTGCTTTGCACATTTGCCTGGCAGAGAGAGGCCTTTCTTTGGCCTTCCTCATGAAATGGGAGTAAAAATGCTTTCTGTCAACCAGGACTTTAGAAGATCCTGATGCCATTACCTAAAGAATGCTGCAGCCTGACTCATAACGTGGCAACTTGGGATTTCCGCTTTGAAAAAGTAAACAGCAATAAAGAAATCCCTGTAACACGCTACAGCCTCACAGGCAGAGAGTGCTGGAGGCATGGTGAAGTTTTGCCACTTGAAACGTGAAAGCCTTCTGTGGTGGCTGTGCTGGAGTTTCCAAACTTGTCTTCTCTGGAGACAGCCATGAAAAAAAGAAATTTCAGAGTCAGTTGACAGCTGCGTGATGGAAGCCAGGAGGGGCAGCTGCAGCTCACAGCTAGCAATGCCTGCTTCTCTACACGAAGCCAGTGACCTCGGTCGTGTTTCAATTCCCTGGGGAAGCAAACCAGGCTGGGTGGTGTGTTCCAGGCACACCTGATGCTGGTCCACCTTTATTTTTGGTGTTGGCTGGTGGGAGAAGGGAGGGGAACTAGCAGTAAACTATATTCTCTATGTCATTATATTTCTAATGTTTGTGTTCTTGTCTTTATGTCTACGCATTCTTTAGCTATGAGGATAACAGACCCTTCATCAAGTAAGAATGACCTGAATGGCTGATAAATTTCATTTATCAGTGTGGTCTCATGAGCCAGCTGTCAGATCAATATTGAAAAATCATTAAAGCTTCTGTCATTCGCTTTTGAGGCAGAAGAGCAAACTGTGCAGGAAAATGGTCAGGCATACAGCTAAGGTGCAGAGTAAATGTGCTGCATATGTACTGCCAACCAGTTGTCACCCTATTTGCTTTCTATTCGTTAATTGGACATTACTTGAATTCAAGGTCAAAATTCCTAAGTTAATTCTGTATAGTACAGACTTGTTATCCCAATAGCAGCCCTCTGGTCCACTGCACTCTGTCACTGGGAGTGCTTTATAGTAATATAAATACAGAAACAAATTTTCAGAAAGGTGCATGGGTGCTATTCCCCATGATTCCCTTTCTAGTTACTGGGAATAGTGCAGGCAAATCTGTGTGCATTGGTGCATTGGTGGCTCCTTAATCTTTGGAGTACCTAATTGTCCCTAATTGTAAATTGCTGATTTCAATTACACCAAAACATGGCTGTTTTTCTTTATTGCAATAAAATTCCACTATGGAAAAGAAAAACTATGAAAAAGCAACAGCAAGTCTGTACAAAGAGCAAGACAAACAACCTCGAGCTGCACCAAAAAAACCACCAACCTTGTAAAGAAAGCCAAAAATGCCTAGAAATTACATACCTTAGGGCATCCATGCTCTTTCTCCTGCAACCAGAAAATAACGTGCAGTAGCACGAAATAAAAGCAAAACAACTTTGCAGTAGACTTTCAGTTTGTTCTTCTGGTGAAGAGTCCTTTGTGTTCATTTTTCAGCACCATTCCCACCTTCTCTTTCATTGCTTGGTTCATTTTTTTTCTGAGGATATGGGATGGAGCTATTCATAGTAATCTTCACGCCCTCTTTATCTCCAGGTCTTGTTTTCTGAAACACAACGCTGTAGTGTGTGCAGTTTGCACTGTTGGGGGTCTTCTAACCCACAGATTCCTTTCCATCACTGAAGGTAGCATATTTTCCCTAAATAACTGTTTCATTCCTGCACACCTCTGCAGCCAAAGGCTCTTTAATCAGGTTCAAGAATTGGCTTTGCTTCAGAGCACAATACGTTTCTGATATCCAGGAAATAATTTTTAGAAGACTCTGTAAGTGCAATAAGCTTTTAATCAGGGATGAGAAGAGAGAGGAAAAAAGTCTTTTCCCTCTCATTTGGTTTTTCTTTAAAAAAAAGTACTTGTATTTTTTTTAATTGGTGTGTGTGATTAGGATGATAGTATGCTCTCACTGGTGGTGGAATCTCAGGGAGAAAATAACCCAAACGACTAATGCTGTAAACTTTATCTAGTGGCTACCTTTCTGAGGCAATGTTGAGAGTATGTTTTCAATTTGCATTGTGCTAAATATTTGTTAGTGGGATTGACACTGGAAATGCTTCAGAGAAGCTGTTCTGGTCTGCTAGATACATAATAGTGATTTTTAAAGAACTGTCTTAATAAGCGATTACCTTAGGGAGCTCTTCTGGTTGTGTGGTTAAATAATACATATTTTATAAACTTCAGTGGAAGACTTGATGCTCCATTTTCATTCTAATACCTAAAGTAAAAAAGAAAACCACCAAAAACAAAAAACAACAGAAGACATGAATACAACATTGGTACGCTTCTGTTTGTGACAAGCCCTGCTAAAAGGAAAAGGATTCAAGGTTGTAGCTGCCACGGCATCTCCACAGCAGAGATTGTCTGCCTGACCTCTGCAGGATTGATTTCCCCCCCAAGTTACTGCTGCTTCATCTTTTTCCCCCTTGCCCCATGCTCTGCTGAGCAGATGGAAGTCCAAATATGTCCAAATCCAGGCCATATTTCTGCAAGGTTGAAGTGGCTTGGAAACATAAGATAGATCTTTGTCCCTGCGAGCCCTTCTGCAGCACTTCAGACTGCTTTGGGGCAGACAAGAAAGCAGAGGTGCTGGCTGACTGCAGTCTTGTCTGCTTTGGGAACAGAAGGGTTAAATGGTGAGGAAGGGGTGTAAAGACTGGGTATCAGTGCATTAATTTTTGTGATGTTGCACCTAATGATACTGGGGGACAACAGAAGAAAATCAAAGCCTTGAGGTAAAGGACAAGTGGATGCTCACAGTGCTGCTTGTTTCCCTGCTGAAAGTTGACTCCCCTCTCCTGTGCAGCAGCAGTTCCTTTAAAATTGTTGGTAATATAGCATGTGGAAACTAGGGAGATGGCTAGTAGCAGGACTGAGCTCCTATACTGCTTGTCACGCTCAGTCTCTTGTCCTGGTATTGGAAGATCAGTCTCTGAGAGGCTAATTCAGCAGATGACTAAATATTATTTAGCAGCGTAACATGGAATACTTCTCCTGACATCCCAGCAAAGCTTCCAACTTTCCTGAAAGCACACATTAAAAACTAACGTGCACCACTCATCTCCAAGTTCATGTCCCCAAGTTCTTTCTCTCCAAGCAGAAAGTTAGTGAGAGAAAGCAAGCAAAGTGCCCACTACTTATATTTGATTGAAAAACATTTGGGGCCAAGCAGTGGCTGCAGCTTTACTCCCGCTCCCCTCCTGATGTGGAGCAAATGATAATCTTAGTTTTGCAGCCAACGTGAAGAAGGATTCCTTTCTCCAAACAGAAGTGTGGCAGCAGCTACTGTTGTAGCAAATGCAGTGTGTGAGTGCCTATACGTGTATACACAGTTCCCCTCATCGCAGGATGGAACAAATGTGAAGCAGCATTGCAAAGAACATCCTTGTGTAGAGCCGATCTGGCTAGCAGTGGGGCTTGCACACCTGCTTGTAGTTGTTTATCTGGCTTACAGGCATATGGGAGACTAGCTAAAATGCAGCAATACGTGTATCTTGGTGTTAAGTGTAAAGAAACTAATCCAACTGGCACTCCTATGAAGCCAGTGGATACTAAAAATGTGGCAATTAGAGTTGTTGTTTCATTTGGTTTATTTTTGTTTCTTCCATTTGCAGAAATAACATCTACATGTCATTTACATGCACACTGCTTTTACATGTTAAAAAAATAAAAGAGACATTGTGCTTTGGTTATGATAAATTTTTATGCTCATAACACTTCCATCTCCTTATATTTCCTCAAGCTTGAAGATTTGTAAACTGCATCCAGCTTGAAGACAAAGCTCCTTATGATTTGTTTTGATATGCTGTTTTCTTTTGCTAAAAACAGGGACAAAGTCTTCCTGCCTGTAGACATGTGTATTATTTTTTGTAAACGAAAAACCAATCCCTTTCTTTTTTTTTTTTTTTTTTTTTTGGTTTCTCCTAACAGGTCCTGGGTTATAGGTGCAATAGCCCTACTCTGCCTATTAGGACTGACCTGGGCATTCGGACTCATGTATATTAATGAAAGCACAGTCATCATGGCGTATCTCTTCACCATATTCAATTCTCTGCAGGGAATGTTTATATTCATTTTCCATTGTGTCCTCCAGAAAAAGGTAAGACAGATGGTTCCCAGTGGCAAGAGAACTGGTAACGGGGTGTTTTGTTGCCTAACAACCACAGCATAGCATCATCTGTGTGCCCTTATTTCGTCTCACGCAGATTTATCTCTGTGCACCTAATAAGGGTGGTATTTAAAATGGAAACCAGCAAGATGCGGGGGGATGAGGTGATAAAGATATGTGGCAGTGGAATTTCAGCAGCCAGGGCACTGGCAACACATGTGTCAGAGGCAAGGGAAAGGCAGGGCTTTGCAATAGCAAGCGTGTACCAGGACTTGCCTCCTGTCAGCCAGATTCTCCTTTCCTGTATGCCAGTGTGAGACGGGAGCGAATCCATGAGCATCAGGAAAGTGCTCCTGTGGATGAGTGCTCACAGCAAAATGGAGCTTTACATCCTTATTTGCAGTCCCTACAGGAAATTACCCCTTTCTGTAGCAGAATATATGGGTTGATGGTATGTAATAGGGGCTACTTCCCCCACTTTTTTAAGAACTGAAGGATGTGTGCTCTGTAACAGTTCATTAGCTTTTGTATTTCTTGGGGCTGATGGTGGGCTTTTGGAAATCTTCCTCAAAGCAAGCACAGCAAGTGCTTCTTGCTGGAACTTGAAGTATGCCCCAATTAACATTTGCCAGATAACAGTGGAGTAACTTAGGTAAATTCGTGGGGAAAAAAAAACATAATAAAAATCTCTGTGAGTATATGTAGATCAGACTTACAGCCTCTGACAATCAGTAATAAATATTTTTAAGAACCTTTTTGTTCTCTACTGAAATGTGGTAGTACAGAGCTCTCCAATTCTGTGCATTTCTGCTGATTACTTTTTATGTACGTCTTAGTTTCAAAGGGCAGTTTCTTTAACTAATGTAAACATAGGGAAGAGTTTATATATGGATACACTGGTCCCAGCTTCTCAGTGTAACTAGTGTCTTTTGGTAAAATGGCTTACAGGGCCATGTTGAGATCTGTTCTCCATCTGAGAGCCCCAGTCTTACTCCTCTGTTAATCACATATTCCTATACAGAGAAGGGAGATCTGACCTAAGAAACCATAGGGGCAGAGCAACTGACATCATCCACCTGGATTTATGCAAAGCGTTTGACACTGTCCCCCATGACATCCTTGTCTCCAAATTGGAGAGGCATGGCTTCGATGGATGGACTATTTGGTGAATGAAGAATTGACTGGATGGCTGCACGTAGAGTTGTGGTCAATGTCTCATTGTCCACGTGGAGACCAGTGACAAGTGGTGTCCCTCAGGGGTTGGTACTGGGGCTGATACCATTCAACATCTTTGTGGGTGACATAGCGGGACCGAGTGCACCCTCAGCAAGTTTGCCAGTGTAATCCTGGGCTGCATCAAAAGGAGCTTAGCCAGCAGGCTGAAGGAGGTGATTCTACTCCTTTACTCTGCTCTGGTGATACCCCATCAATACTGCATTCTGTTCTGGTATCCCCAGCTTAAGAAGGACATGGTACAGTTGGAGGAAGTCCAGAGGAGGCCAAGAAGTTGATAAGAGGACTGGGGCACCTCCCCTACAAAGACAGGCTGGGGAAGTTGGGGCTATTCAGACTGGAGAAGAGAATATTGCATAGAGACCTCATAGCAACTTTCCAATATCTGAAGGGGGCCTACAGGGAAGCCAGAGAGGGACTCTTCCTCAGGAACTGTAATGACAGGACAAGGAGTAATAGGTACCAATTGAAAGAGGGGAAATTTAGCTTAAATATTAGGAAAATTTTTTTACTTTGAGGGTTAGACATTGGAACAGGTTGCACAGGGAGGTTGTGGATGCCCTAACCCTGTCAGTGTTCAAAGCCAGTTTGGATAAGGTCTTTAGCAACCTGGTCTAGTGGGAGGTCTCCCTGCATATGGCAGCAGGGTTGGGACTACATGTTCTTAAAAGTCCATTCCAACCCCTCAATATTCTATGATTTTATGATTCTGTGGTAATCAAAATTCATCATAATAAGTGAGCTCTGTGAGCGATGCCTCTGGAAGGATCTGCAGAGCTGGGGAAAATGTCTCTCTTGAAACCAAAAAAGAGGACTTTTGGGGTGCAGAGTTTTGTCTTTTGTCATTGCATCTTCGATTTTTGCTTTTTAAGAAACTTAAAAACCTTATCTAGATGCAGATCTTAACTGCCTGCTGATGATCCCAAAACTCTCAGCAAGAAAGTTTCAAGGCAAGGTGATAGCAAGAAGGTAGGAAGCATCACCATTGCTAATTAGACCTGCAGGTGCCTCTCTGATGAGGAGTTTGAATTTCTGCACCATACTTACTAGTCTGTTCTCTGGCCTCCAGTGCATGTCACAAAGGGTGAGTCCCTAGCACAGCCTCCCAGCACGGCACCCCAGCCTCCTTGGCTAGTGCCATTCTCACTCGGCATGAAAGAACCATTTCTTTTCTGTCTTAAGACAATCTACATCCTTAAACCATCACTGGTGACTGTGAAGTCACTCATGATTTATGGCAGCATAGAGAGGAGAATGCAGCTGGTGCCTTGCTGTTGGGGTGCATGCATCTCTCTGACCTAAGAGCTGAGGGAGGTATTATTTAAGAAGAGAAAAAATAATCCTTTCCTATCTATCATGGACTAGAAAATCAGCAAAATGCTGCAGAGAGGCAAGCAGTGGGTGGCTAATTAAAGCAATTGAATTATTTTCTCTCAGCAAAGGATTGATTAGGCACTCGAGCATATTGGGCACTTGTGGTATTGTGTTAGTCTCAAGCGCCTAAGGAAGAGCCTAATGAAAAAGCTGTAATTTGCTATTTAAACAGTTGTTTCGTGGAGTTGTGAAATGCTCATAGACAGTTTGGCAAAATTTTATGGCTAACCATGTGCTCCAAGAATTCTCAACTGGTGTTTTGGACATGTGTGGATTTTTTGGGGCCCTTTTGTGTCAATGGGCAATGTGACCTTCTTTTGGCTCTTCAGTCTACTCGTTTTCAGTCTTGTCCCATCTGTTTTCTGGGTGTTGCTTTCCATAAAAAATCACCTGAAAATCACCATAAAAAAACCTGTAATGCAGTCAGAACTTAGATCCTGCCCTGGCTCAAGTTAGTGTAGTTTCCCTGAAGCAAAGAAAGTGGCATAGGTTTGATTGCAATGCCCATTTAAAACGTATGTGGTTTGCACAGTACTGTGGAAAAGCAGGCTCCAGCCACACCTGAGCACTGGGAATATAATCTCCAGAGCTGCTAGCTGTACAGTTTCCTCAAATTTCAATTTGACAGCAAGAAACTTTTTTTTTTTTTAATCAATATCTCTTATCTGTTTCTCTTGGATTTTTTTTTTTTAGCCCCCTGCCAGAAGCAATGACTTTTAGTACCTTGATGAGCCAATATGCTATTTTATATCAAATCTATGAGGATATTAATTTTAAGTCATAAATAGTGTATCTGTGCTTTCTCCCATGCTCTTTTGATGTGCCTCAGAGGACACTACATCAGGCTGGTCTCAACAAGCAGCTTTGCTGCATGGAAGCAGTCGCTTAGGCCATCATAAACCGTGAGCTCATGCCACGAGAGCATTCATCTGAAAGGTGTAATAGACTCCTTCCCCGCATACTGCAGCAACTATTGTTTTAATGAACCACTGAGGAAACATCAGGGGCTGTGCTCAAAATCAGAAGGCAGTGGGTTGGAGGAGGAGCAGCCTGCTAACCACCATTGCACTTTCCTTGGCTAGGTACGTAAAGAGTATGGAAAATGCCTGCGCACGCATTGCTGTAGTGGGAAAAGTACAGAGAGTTCTATCGGCTCAGGAAAAACCTCGGGATCAAGGACACCTGGAAGATACTCCACAGGCTCACAGGTAACCCACGCTTCTTGTTCATGCCCCAGTGATTTGCACTGCCACACCAATACACTTGTCAGCAATTCTTGGAGGAAAGCTCCTTCAGCACCAAAGGAGCTGCCTTAGGGCTCTCCCCAGTGCACCTGCAGAGATTGCCCTCCCTCCCTTCTGGACCTGAATTCAACACAGTGGCTTCCCTTGAGATGTGATGGCAATTAATGCTTCTCCAAGAACCTTCTACATAATTGTATTGGGAATAGAAGGTTCAAACTTGCCTTCCAGGAGCAGGTGGGTGGTCATGGAATCAGGAGCTGAGAGCGTTTTGTCAGCTTTGTTACATTCCAGTGCATCCTTTAATCACAAGGTGAAGGTTACCACCACTATTAACATGTTCAGGAATGATGCTGTAATCACCAAGTATTTTTCTTGATTAAAAAAACCAAACAAGAACCTTGCAATAGGCTTCAGAGTGAAAAGACTTGCTTTCTGGCATTCAGTGTTTTGATCAATTTGCCTTAGTTCATAGACCTCTTAGGAGAATCCATTGGGGTCAGATTATCAGACTAAGTTACTGGATTTGTTACACTTTGATCACCTGAAAATTCAGGCTTTCTGTCATTTGTGCACTTAGCATTTTTGAAACTAACTTGTATGTAGAGATGCAGATTTATGGACAAACAGTTCGTATAAAATGAAGAAGCTTACTTAATCAATGAAAACCAAACACAATTTTATTCAGTATTAGTAATGGAAGTAATTATACATGACAGTTCCACTATTAAATTATGAAAGACATGCAGCAAGTAACAGTTTATAACTTCCTGGGAAAACCTAAATTGTGATTTATGTCTTGGAGCAAATTATTATTTATTTTTGGCAGTTTCCAAGATGTCAGCGGAGAGCTCCACTTTGGCATTTTCGTAGGTCTGGAAGTTATGCAGAGCAAATAAAAGCAATAGAATATAGAACTTCTCTCCAGTAGGCCATCAAAACCCACAGAAATCTTACTGTCCAAAACTCACTCTATCCATTTAGGTGGCTGATTTGAAAGTTTTACGTAACTTAGCTACTGCACTGGTGCCCTCCTCTCCAGGAAGTGTTTACTTTAATGGGTCCTCCCTCTTATCAGTCTCAGCACAAGAAAACAAGCCTTTTTTTTGGTGAACTGAGTCTCCTAGCAGCAGTACCCTCATGGCAGACAAGGTTTGAAGTACCAAGGAAGATTATTTTTCCTGCAAAAGCTTGTCTTTGGAAGGATGGAAATACCTGAGACCTCTTATGGGCAGGAGAAACCTCACACAGGTGATGGAGAGTGGATGGAGATCACTCTGAGTTGTTGAAAGCATCTGATTCCTAACTTCAAATAGAGAAGACCATAAGGAGGAAAACTCTTAAGATCCCTTTTTACTCTGAGAAGCGCATAGCAAACAGAATAATTAATCCACAGTGGGTCATGTCAGAGAAATACAATCGATTAAATGTCCAGGTGAAAAATAATTACTGTAAAAGTGCATGGACCTCATGTTACGTTGTACTCCCATTTATAGAGGGTTAATGCATGATTAGGAGGTGCTGTTACTACACAGTTAATGAGTAGACTAGGACTTTTCAGCTTGTACCACATAATGAAGCCCTGAAAAATCTCTCATGCCTAAGCTCTCACTACAGGAAGTGCTGGATTTTTAGCACTTTGGAAGAACATGGTCTATCACAGTGGGAACCAGTCTTCCCAATCCCCTGGACCTGCTAAGCACCATGTTCATACAGCCATGGGATACATCCATCATACTCTGAAATGTGAAGAGAGGGAAGGTTTCCCCTGGATGCGTGGGTTCTCCAGTTATCTTCACACAGGGATTGTCAAACCGCTCACAAGATGCATTTTGGCTGATTTTTTGATCTGTTGCAAGGTCTAGTTGGGGAGGAGTAAGATGATATAAGAGCCACAGAGGCAGATACAGCATATTTGAGAAACAAAACAGAAGGCCAACATATTCAGGACACTTTCCCCAGTAGCAGAAGCTATACCGTAGATAGCAAAACCATCACAGATTTTTCAGTAGGGGAACAGAAGTCATTAGTTTATGGGGAATTTTTTTCCTCCCAGTATCCCCGAGATGGGAAATAGCTATATAAAACCTTTGTTCATTCAGGGACAGCAAGACACAGAACAAGTCTTCTGTTACACTTCAAAAAATAAGAATCAAGCTGTCCGAGTTAGTACAGGAAGCACGTGTGCTTCTGTGTTTAAGTTATTTTTTCAATATTTTGTGCTGTATTGGTAAACCTGTGGCTCACATAGGTCTGGGTTTCTCTCATGCATGATTTTTTTTAATTAAGATGTAAGCAATTCAATTATGCACTTCTTCTTTGAGCTATGCATTCGTGTTACGAAATTAGGCAGGCAGGGTCTGACGTGCACGAGGCAGGTTGTAGCAAAACAGCAACCGCTTGCTTACAACTGGCTAGAAACAAGTCTTATCCTGAGCTAGACAAGCCAATAGCCATCTTTAGTGAGGCAGAAAGAAACCTCTCTGCAGCTGCTAAAAATTCATTACCTGCTGTGGTTCAATCCCTCTTCAGAGCCGGATTCGTAGGATGTGGAATGACACAGTTCGAAAGCAGTCCGAGTCTTCCTTTATTACTGGAGATATAAACAGTTCAGCTTCACTCAACAGAGGTAATTATAAACTATTTTTTATATCTCTAACTCTTGTGATGGCTGAAAGGAGTCTGAAATGTGTGGCCCCTTTCCTCCCCTGCCTTTTCCTCCTCACCTTAAATGTCACTGGACCCTATTCTCCCACCTAAGAAATGTTGCAGTGATAACTGGTTGGAGGTTTTATGGTGGTTGTTACCTTTTTCCCTTTCCTTTCTTCATTTCTACGTGTACATTTTCAAGAATTGTCATTTCTGGAAAGAAGTTAGGAAAAGCAGAAAAGAGAAATTAAATGAAGTTGAAATCTCCCCTTTCCCTCAGCAAACTGCTAGTGCTAGAAGCTGCTGATGTGTCAGGCCTCATTGCTGACTGTGAAAATGGGCCATTACAGCACTGTACAGTCTGTGTTAAGCATCACAAGAGTCCTGATTGTCCTGGATATGTAGCAATACGTTCATCTTTACAGAAGCAAAAATGAGCAGCAGAACATAGACGTAAGGAAAAACTGTGCTTGGAACAAAATTGGCTGTACTGGTGTTAATATACCTAGTTTGAAGAACTGACTGATGTGAACTTTATAGACATCTGCGGTGGAAAGGCTATCAGAAATGCATATGCCAAACAAAATGTGGTGTCTGGCACTGGAGGAAATCTGAACAGCTTTTTTAAACCAAGTCTTTTTCAGGGAGTTGCAGGAAAGCAATGGTAAGGGAATACCAGAAGAAGAGCCTCAGAAATTGCTTTCTTTCTTCTGCAGTACAATTACTTTATAGTTTAACCTTGAGCAACCAGATTCCAAACTCTGTTTTGTGTACCTGCCCAGTTGATGATGGAATTAAGAGGGGGTAGAATTTGGATTATTGAGCCCAGCTGTTCTCTCATGATGATAAAAATCAAATGTATTTCCAGTCCTGATGGTTGATCTGCAAATCTCAACTGAGAATTGAGTTGGGACTTTGTTTTTTATTCAGTCTTTATTCACACAGAATTCCTACTGATTTTAGAGTGATTTTTACCTGAGGATAGGCTTGAAGGATTTTGTCTGGGCTGTTAGTAATATTGGCTACAGAGTACTGGGGAACTAGGGGCATATGATTCCGTTCTCTGAACATTATACATATTGCCCAAATCAATGCAAAGGGTAAGGCAGTGTAGTTAACATGGAGATGTACTGTGCTTCAACTTGCTGGTGCTTTTGTCTCGGGATAATTTCACTTTTCACTGAAGATTCATTAGTAAACTTGCCTATAAGATACCGTTACTGCAAATGCCTGATTTATCCACGTTCATTGTCCTCATGTCTCTCTCTGTCTTTGTAAAGACTGGAGAGCACCAGCCAGGTTTCTCTAAGTCTAGTACAGAGGGGAATCAGTTGTCATACAAAGATTACGGCAAGAGCCAGCTTCCCTTGGCTCATCCATCGCTCTGTCTCAGTGGCAAACCAAAATGTGTTATGCATAAAATGTTTGCTCCTTTAGTTAGCACAGAAGTTGACTTGCTCTGTGATGCAACTGAGGCTACCAAGGGATATGCTTTAGCAAACAGGATCTTCTGGGCTTGTCAGCAAAAGAAAGGTATCTCTTCTTTTTCAGTTGTACATTTTTTTCTGTGCAAAGCAGGAAGTATGACCATAAATTGGGAAAACTGTGAAGAGGTTTCAAGTGGGCAGTCTTCTTCCCAGTGTGGTGAGAGCCTGTTAGTAGATGTGCCTGTTATTTAAAGGTCAGTTGGGAAATGAACTACCAGGGGAGGCATCTTCAAAGCAGATTTCATCCAGCTATTTTCCTTGTGTAACACTGGATGAGATGAATCATCCAGAGGGCCTCTCTACTGAGTATGGAAACAGCCTGATAACTGTCTTGGAAGGGAAGCCTTTTAGGTGGAACACTGAAGTGACTTGAATAAGTTGTACTATTATACAGGCTCATCCTCCCTCTTTTTCACACAGGCAGGCACAATATTTGTTGCTGTTGGGTTTTTTTTCTCTTCTGGTAGACAGAAGTATTTGCAAAGTGGAGGTTAAAAACATTTATTTGGGAAATAGTATCGCCAAAGCAGCAGGTGGTCAGATCCATATGTAAAATGCACCTGACAGCAACAGTAATCCCAGCTTCACAGGGCTCCAGGTATTTCTCTCTTTAGCCTGTTTATTTCAGCTGAAAAGCAACATTTGTGGTCTTAGGGCTTTGCTCAGACAAAACTCTCCAGAGATCTGCAGCATGAACAGAGCAGTGGGGCACTGCTGTTTTCACAGTTCTTGTCTTCCTCTTAATATTTAAATATATATCTATCTTTAAAGGAGCCGTTTCATTAATGTTTTATTTACAAGTATACAATAAAAGCTCAGGGGGTTGAAGTGTGAGCCTTGAGTTGTATGGTCAGAAGCTTTCCCTGCCTGAGGTTGATACAACAAGCTCGCATACCTGTTCAAAAATCCCTTTCCAGCCCTCTCACCCTAGACACCTTTTGCATGAAAGTATTTGTAGTATCCCAAGTTAAACATTCTGTCTGTGCTGGCATTTTTCCCAGAGCCTTCAGACAGCAGCCTCTGTTCTGAAACAGGGAGAAAATGATCCTTTCTCCCCAGAGTCACCCTATCATCCAGGTCCTGACCCAACTCCACTTTTCCATGTCCTGGGCCAGTGCTGAGTTTTCATGTTTCTCTTGTGAGGGCAGAAAGCAGTGAGACATCCTCCAGCTGGGGTACTTTCTCACTTAAATCTGTTTTCTCCCTGATATCATTCACCATATTTGCAGCCTCTTGCTACGTGATAACATCCCAGGCAAGACTGCTCTAGCTATCCATATCCCTGTATAATGGCCGGCATCTCTATATGACATCACATCCCCTATTCTTCCTCATGAAACTCCTGGGCATCAGTCTGGAAGATGGTATCTGTGTTAGTGCATCCCTCCTTTAGACATATAGCTTTTTCTGATTTAGCAGATATGACACTGTTTATGGCTCTTTTCAGCTTCATATCCTCTTTTATCTACTGTTCTCACCCACCTACACCCCCCCAAGTAACTAATCATAATTTTATTTTTCATATTCTCATTTATCATACCAGAAATTTCAGGTATAACCCCAAACTTGCCTGATGTAATGTGTTCTGTAATGAAAACTATACTCACTTTATACTAAGGCATACAAGACTATTTCAGATATTTCCTGAACGTAGCATCTAATTATGGGTTAGTAAAAAAATATGTCTGACTTTGTTTCCCCTTGTTGCTCATTATGGCTTAGTAGTGGTGTGAATTTGGGGCTGTTATACCACTGAAATCAGGAGGAAGGGAACAGAAACTGGCCATTGGTTTCCTCTTCTACTGTTGAATGAAGAGCATGCCTGTCCATCCCATGGTCATGGTCTCAGTTTCAGGATCCAGGTAGATTTCTGCTCCTTGCACTCCCACTCTGCAACCTTGCCCAATTTTTCATGACATGGGTGTGGCTGGATACTTTTGCCATCTATTTCACATCGAACCTCTGCTCTGCATTGCTTTTCCCAGTGCTGAAAACTTCAGGGGTGCAAAAGTTGAACCAAACTGAGAAAAATGAAGTTTCTCTTTGCCTGTGGGGTACTTAGCATGTGGTCCTAATACAGGCACTTAGGTGCAATGTTGAAAAGCTAGAACAAAAGGGATGCATGTAGGATGGTCTGTTGGCTAAAGCTTATTACTTCGAAGGCTGAAAAGCAGAATGTATGAAGGAAAACAACAGTTTTGTGTTAAGTTCATGAGGAGAAAGTGGAGCAGATGACTGCTCGATTGTGACAGCAGAGTTCTTGTGCTAAGGACAGTTTCTAAAAAGAGCTAGAGATGAAAAGCAATTAACAGCACCACTGTTACTCCAATTCTGCTGGACTTGTGTTTTGTTAATCTAATCATGGACCTGTGCTGGGCCCACAGATGGAGCCAGCAAGAGAAACTGGGGTATCTGTCAGCGTGACACAGATGGCAAGAGGAGCAGGGGACTGCTGTAAGCATGAGCACTGCTGAGCCCTGATCATGCAGCACGGGCCCAAGCTTTGGGTACATCCAGTTGGCAACCTCAGGATCGTGAGGAATGGGTCTGTTTGCACCTTTGGGGTGTTGCTGTCTAAAAGTACTTGGATAGCTCAGCCAGCTTTGCAAACAAGCAGTCACAGCATGAAACAGCCATGTGACACCAGCCTATTTTTATCCATGTCTTAGGTGAGAGGCAATACAGTAATTACTGTCTCTCTTTGGATATGAGGAAAGTGATAGAGAAAAAAAATCGTCATGAACTATATGATACCCTGTTACCCTTTGGGCTTTCAAGCTGGGGGCAGGGGGGGGTGTGTGATTTTTTTTTTTTTTTCCAGAGGGAAAATAGTTGTCGTCCTTTAAAGAAAAGAATGTTCCTTGTTTTGGTGAGGCTCAAGAGCAGAAGAGACCAAAGACTTTGTCCCTGGTCCAAGGCAGTGCATTGTTATAGAAAAATGTGCCGATGGAGTTAGGTATATTCATTCAGGTTTGCAGATAAGGGGAACTACGACTTCATTCGTAGCAAACACTTACTGTATCTTAATAGTTTTTTCCTCTTCAGGGAAATAAATGGGCTAGGGGTAAAGCCACCAGATTTCATAGAAAATAGAAACTACTCCAGAAGTCTGTTGTGTTGAGTCAAGAGCCATACTCCCGTTGTAATGCTCTGAGTCTTGGCTTACAAACTAGGCAGCAAGTTTAATAGTTTATTCCAATAGAAGTCTTGCTTCTGGAAGAACAAATGTTCTTGTTCTAGAAGAACAAATAGGAATGTGTTCACCTCTTGTCTTTTGGCTGTATGCATATATGCTTTACATCTACTCATCCCCAAAGCACTGCTCACCATCTCCACCACTCTTATGCATGGAGGGGTCCTGGAGGGACTTCTTGGTAGTTTTCGTTGCTGCTCCACTTGTCTGAAAGACAAGAAACATCAGGGAGCTGTAAGAGCAGAACTGTTTCATGATAGAGAAGAGTTGGGAGCTGAGAGGTGTCAAGCAGAAGCCAAA